CCTGTGTGTTATGTAAGATAGTTACACTTGTGCATACATTAGGATTTTTTTTTTTTTTAAATGACAAGTACTGAAAAGTCTGGGTTCTTACCCTATCTTTTCTTGAGAAAAGAATAAAAAACAGGAAAGGAATTAATATAATAGTATTGCTTTTAAAAAAAAAAAGGGTCCAAACCTAAATCTGAGAGTTCAGGAAATCTCTATTCTTACAGATTTTTCACTTTTAAGTAGTCAGCATGGACAAATGAACACAGTTTTCCTTTTTTATTTGAGACACTTAGCAAAAATGCTGAAATATCAAACATTTCCTCAGTAGCTACAATATTGCCACTATGTACAAAATATTTGATAAATGTAGTACACATATAAAAATACAGTATGCATTACATATATACAGTACAATGTGCAAAACATATGGCATTCAAACATATGGAATTGATTTTAGGGGTGCAAACAGCAAATACAAAGGCATCATGGTTTCTTATAGAAAGGCAATACATAAACTGACGCCCTGATTGCCATAATTTGCATTTAGTAAAGTAGTGCTTAAATGAAGAGGGCCCTAGAGACAGGTGTCTATCTTCTTTTTTTCACAAAATGAGATGCTAAGACATAATTATGACTATGAAAATAAGAAGAGAAACACCTACTAGGGTTAGCGTTATTTCTACTGCAAGCAGTACTGTGAAGAAAAATCCTATCTGGAAAAAAGCCTGTGCTATTACTTAATACAAATTTTTCAAACAACAAAAACAAATCTGTACTGTTAAACATCAAAAACAGCTTTGAAAATATCTACATCCTTAATTTTAAAAAAGTATGGATAATACTTTTGGGGATTTATTTTCCTATGCTTCAAAATACAAAGTGCCTCCTTTGGCAATATAAATGGCAATGCTTTGGTTCCTATTTAAATTTTTATATTATTATAATTTATTTTAGGCTGTCTTTTGAATATCTGAGCTGTATTTTTTATAAAAATAGTGTGGTTACATAGTTATTAACCATTCCCTGCTTTTTATTGAGAATTTGCTCTCATAGCTAGAATGGCTTTTTTGGCTAGATTTCTACAAATACATTTATGCACTTTCAACTTTAAAAGTCTTTATATTCAGTATTGGACACTACAGAATGATGTAGGTGTCTCTTTTTTGCACTTTATTCCTAGCAAACTGGTATAAAAGGAGTATTTGAGATTACTTCAGGTTTTAATGGATGCTCTTTATTGGCCATGTATATATTATATGCAACTCCATTCCACGTATCTCACATAAAAAACCATCTGTAGTATGGTCTAGAAGTCATCAAAAGGCAATTTACTAGACCATAATATAAAGAGTTTTAACAGAACATTTACTAGAGATAAGTGGAAGAAATTTTTTTTCCAGTTTTAATACATTTGCTTTAAGTTTATAATACACTAAAGATGCCATCCAAATAATAATTGTTTACATCGGTGAGCTTTACTGTGTTTTGATTACATAATGCCCTTCCAGTTAAATGTATTCTGTGATTGCATTTTCTCTGCCTTGAAAGAGTTCAGCAGCTTGTGCTTGGTTTCAGGCATCTGAATGTTTGAGATTACGTAACATAAAAGTTTAATATTGAAACTTCTATTTTGATCACCTGCTTCTTTGAACATAACTCCTGTTAGTGAATTTAGAAATGCCTTGAAAAGTAGTGATTATTTTGAAAAGCTGTGGCCTCAGCTTTTTAAAAGTCTGATTCTGCAAGCCCACACTGCTGGTTTAGGCTCTAAATTTCTATAGAGAACACCTGCCATAAATTCATTTTATTCTGAGAGAGAACTGCGAAATTTATGACAATGATTTCTTAACTATTTATAATGTTAAACAAAATTTTGCCTGTAAACTTACTTGCCTTAACTAATGCTGAATGGCACTAAAAGTGCATAACAGATACTATTTATTTCTGTATTAAACGCAGGATGTGACTCCTCTTGATTAACATTAGCCTTGTAAAACATATGTCTGAGCTCTTTCAGTGTCTACAAGTGTAAACACCAACTTCACCAACTGTGATTTTCACACTGATAAAATGGTATTCTTAATTACTTTGAAGGATTTACTAACGACACATTTGATAGGATGTGTTCTGTTAGTATATTGCAGCCATTAAATGGCAAATTTAGTGCCAGCGCATTCCTTTGCAACTGTTCTCTTAATGAGAAATATATTCAGTTCTGTACAGTCAAACTGCACAGTCAAGATTAAATTTCTAAGATGTATTGTATTTGTGTTACAAAAACTGTCATGTAAAACATGCACACACAAAAGTCTAAGCAAAACCTATTTCTGCCATAACAGGCATATATAACTATGGCAAATATATCACATTTCAGAACAAAGTCTAAAGCAAACCATTATATATAAGGTTTAATACACATAATTCTGAAATGTACAAAAAAATAATCACACATGCCCTACACTAGAATATTTGTACTTTAAAAACTAAAATGATCCCTTAATTTTTTTAATAATATTGTTGGTTTTTTTTTTTTTTGCAAATAGACTTTTAGAGTAGAAAGCTATACTGTACTGATAACAACACATCTCAGCTGTTTGGGTTTATTTCTGCACATAGATTCCTATAGATTAGTTAACATTCTACACTGCCAATAAGGATAGTTTTGTAGCAAGATGACTTTGCCAGTTTTAAGCTCTATTTACATGCACATCAAAAATGACAGTACAGTTGCTCTAGGTTAATTTGTCCTCTAAAAATTAATTTACTTGCCTTTTATTTAATCAGAAGGCACGGTCAAAAAGGGATAACTCTAACCACACATATGTGGTATGATGTCTGGTGTATCACACATAATAAATTGACAGTACTGCAGAACACTAAATTTAATTCAAAGTTGTTCCTATCAGACCAAGAGTCCTTAATTCTTATTCTCGTAAGAGCTGAGGGCACTTAATATCTCAGAGTATTAGCTCCCAAGGTAATATGATGAAAAGGAATGCAAAAAGTTGAATGTATTTGTTCAATGTTATTGAAGAGTCCTATACCATCAAAATTTAAGGCAGACAGTCCATGTGTAATACTGTACTCAAGTACTGTAGGCACAGGAAGAAGGAATAAGGAAATACATCTTTCAACTTCATCTTTTGTTGTGAAAATCTCCATAGATTGTTTTTTCTGTACTTAGCTTCAGATTAAAGTAAATCCTGGTCTGTAAAACTACTGAAGATATATAATGATTTAAAGTGCTGATAACTGATATGATGCAAACATATGATGCCAGTTTAAACCCTCAGTCAATGATATAATGCACTATTTTATCTGAAGCCAATGGAATTCTGTAATACTAGTAAATCAGACTGCATTGTATCTCTGGAGACATAAATTTGCAGTTAATTCCACATTTTCTGACAAAAGTATTTTGTTTGATGTTAACATGATTGTGTTGTGGTTTTTTTTTTTCTTTTTTTTTAAATGTGAGGTTGCTCAACAGTTAACAGCTACTTTCTGTTTTCATTATTTCTTTAATACTCTTTGATACGTATCATTACTCTTAAGAAGTAAGCAAAAGCTTCAGGGCGTTTTTTCATTAGTTCCTACAAAACTTTATTTTTGAAGGTTGGAGGCGAGGAAGGAATTCTACGATGAGATCAGTTTTCAGACTAGAAAACATAGCACGTTTCCGTTGTTCAGGAAATAGGGGACTCTTTCCTTCTATTTACGAATTTAGGAATTCCCTAATAGGAAATAATTCCAATTTTATGTTTGATTATCAGCCTACGTCATCTATGGCAACTTTTAACAGCTATTACCTGAGAGACAACCATAGAATTACAAAGTATTTTACTTCTATTTGCATTTTTTTGTTTGTTTTTCCAACTGCTTTCATAATAGACTCTGAAAAAAAAACAACTAAAGGCTTTAAAAAAAAATAATATTTTCATGTGCTGTGAGGTAAGAGCTTAATTTTTGCTATTATCTGTTTCAGGTATGAAATATGCCTTCTTATCACAAAACAGTACATCCTGATACTGCTTATTAGCCTTTTATAATTTTCTGTAAGTGTGTGCTATTTAGAATTCTCACTGAGCAGCTTCTCTGTTTAGCTTCCCTGATGTTATGTAGTGGTAGACAAAGCTGTTCAATAAATAAAGTATTCATTAAGAAATGATGGTTGTCCTGTCAGTACTGTCCCCTGCAACTCGGTCTGATCCTACAAACATCTTTTATTGAGGGCATTGGGACTATTCTTGCATAGATGCTTGCAGGATCATAGTGCACAACAGCATTAATTGAACTTTTCTACTTCTCCAAACTCTTCTAATATGCTGAGATACTGGATTCAATGATCTAACAAATATCCTCAAACACAAAGTAAATTAGGATATTTATTATTTCCATTATAGTAATCTCGTTTGAAAACCACTGTTCCCCTCTGTTCACAAAAATAAGCTATACAAAGTTAAAAGAGTATACAAATAACTGTCTGATATACACATTAAAACCTAGCTATTAAATCCAGAGCATCGCTATACAAAATTCAGTGTTCTCAGTATTACCTGGCATAGCTACAGTGGACTTCTTGCAGTTACACTTAATGTCCCTTTGGATGCAGTTAAATTCTTCCCTCATGATTAAAGAATGGGGGAAGAGTTTTAAAACCCACAAAACCAAAATATAAAAACAACTTGAACAAATTAAGAGACTAGATATATGAAATTTCACTGAACCAGCCAGTGCTTCTACTGCCTTTGCCCTCACAATTCATTTTGAACCTGGCTCAGGCTATCCACAGGAACAATGAAGTGCAGTGATGCCTCACCCTCCCCCAAACATTTGCTCACTGTGTCAATACGGACAGTTGAAATCTCACTTTTTCTTCTCTAAGTTTAGCCATGTTGTGTTGCTCATTTAAGCATTACAAAGTCAGAGACATAACTTCTTTCTTAAATATTTGTGATGCATTTACCTTGGGGTACTTCTAATCAGTAAGTACAATCATCCTTTCTTGACTTGTGAAATACAGCTTTCAGAGGGCCCTGATCTGCATTACTGATAGGAGCATAAAAGTAATTCACTGTTGTAAACTTGAAAATCAATAATGAATTAGCTTCAAGCATTTGTTCTTCCAAACATTACTGTCTTAATTTATCTTAACTGCAATCAGAATGGTATAATAATGGACCTCTGCTGTAAAGAGACTTGCAGGTCGTGTTCTCATTGGCTACAGCTTAATCCCAGTGCAACTGTAGATCCTGTGGATCTAGAAAGTCAGTGGAAAACACGCTGGGGGCAGTAGAACTGAGAGGAGTGAGTCCAGATGAGGAGCTGGGCATTGTAATGTCTAGCCATTCCATATTGTCCAAATTTGTATCGGGAAGGTCAAGAGACAGACAAGAATTGTTAGTGGTAAACTGTGGGTCAGATGTTTCCATGGGTGAATGAGAGTGATCTAAAATGCTGGAGTGATTAAGGAGATCATTCTGGAGGTCTTCAATTAAAGAAAATGATTCTCTGTCCTCATTACTGCTTGTCAATTGAGGAATTTCATTACCTGACGGTAAAGTTCCATCCAAAAGGGCTTCAAGTTGGTTTTCCAAACTTATAGACAAGCTGGTTGTTGGTTCTAAGGACACAGGAGGAGGGGCCATTTGGATTTGTGGTGGTGGGCGGGATATCACTGTATTCACTGGCATTGTAGTGATGTTGGCTGTTACTGGTCTCATTTTAGAAATGGGAGATGGTTCCTCCTTTATTGGAAGGGAAATCTCTGTAATAAAAAAAACCCCACTATTGAATTCAGAAAAGATAACGACATATATCCTCAGGCTTACAACTTCCACCCCCTTTTTGTCCACTTTGAGATGCATCCACAGTGAACTCAATGGAGTAAGAGTCATTTGCTGTTCTGATAATACAAACACTACATACATCAGACTATGTCAGGTACTCTATGAACAACAAAGTATTTTAAAACAAGTTCCAGAGTTCTGCTTTCAGTAATACTTCAGCCAATTAGAATATTTATATTGATGAAAAAAAGAACAATTTTCTAGACGTTAGCTTTACCTCCTTCATGTTTATAGTTCTTCTGACTAATTAGAGTAACTATGGAACCCACACATTTCCTCATTTAGAGAAGAGTACCTGAACAAATTTTCAGTTCCATCCCTGTTTAGTACTGTGTCCACCTTGATGAATTAGAGTCCAAGAGATCAATTGATGTGATTAAGATGCATTTATTCCTGATTCTAGAATCTAAAACTACTCTTCTGTCAAGAAGTTCCATGTAAGACACTGGCAGTAACAATAAAAGGAAATAAGGCAAAGTAAGTTCCAATTAATTCTTATATGCAAATGGAGTCCAAAAATAAGAGCAGACAGACCAGAATATGCAAATAAATCCTCTAGAACAGATTATGTTTCTGCCAGAAAAAATACACCTGACAATGTATTTTGCACCAGTTTTCCAAGCAAAAACCACATTCTTAAAACCTGTAAGAGCATCTATTGAAATGATTGCTTAGTAAAAGCAAAGCATTACTAAACGGACCCTCTCACTCTCTTGATGTACATTAATAAACTAAACATTTTTCAGTGTAGAACTCGCTTACCTAAGTGCAAGAGCCCTGAATGCTTTACTATGTTTTTCATAAAGATGATCAGGAAACGTTTGTTTTTTTATGGCAACTTCGCAAATATGGAGCAGTTGTTACCTTTAAGATCAAGTAGGTTTAGTAATGTAACACTCAAAGCAAATATTTAAGTAAGCACACCAATGTTTCCTACATCCTCTGTTCCCCAGGTAGAACAACTTCGAACTACGCATGCAGTATTTTAATAAAAGCACTGAAAGCATTTTTGAATTTAGCTTGAGTTGTTCACTGCACAGGTCACTTAAGTCTGTCACTGTCTACTCCCATTTTTCTTCAGCTGACTTTGCAATTTGCTTTGAAAAAGAGAAAATACTTTGATATTTAGAATATAGCTAAAATCTAATAGTGTACAATCAGTCACTTATGTCCTGGCATTCACTGCTGTCAAGATCCTTGTATGACAGTAGTACAAAACATTAAGTTAATTGAATTGCTTGGCACCAGAACATTTCCCAGTATTATAATGGCTTCTTAGTCTACAAAGCCTACTTATGCCTGAAAGCCTCCTTCTTTTACTGCAAAGCTACTTTGTATATTACTTTAGTTATTTCAGTTCCTTTCTGATAGCTCCCTTATTTTAACTGATATAGAAAATTGTTATTCATTAACATCTCTATGTAGTTCATACATACTTTTTCCAGTAATGTATCTTTGATGTTTAGAGTTGATAATACATGGTTATATTTAATGAAATTTTAGTATCAACATGCTTTAACTCTTACCTTACTCTATTTTTTGTGTAATTTCAATATACATTATATGGACTTGCTCAACTTTTCCAATTTTGATAAAATAAATACGTTTGTGCTAACTTAAGGTATTATTTTAATTGTTTGAATGCTATGTGGATTATTGCAAAGGTCTGCCTGGGCTTATTTATAAGCAGAGAAGTTCCAGGTCTGCCTGGGCTTATTTATAAGCAGAGAAGTTCCACAGCAGGTTGACGTCTGTTTTGGTCAATGTTTTCTTCAGTAGATAATTATTGCAAACTTTCAGAAATACTAGTTTCATCCAGGCTGGATAGCTTCTACTCTCCTCTCCCTGGAAGAATTCTTTCCTTTGATTATAGCACTGAGTTTTTATTATCAGGTTTTAAATCTCTACATCACACATGTCAATTAGCTTACCTCCGCTCTTGATGAGAATATCAAAAAGATCATCCATCTGCTGACTGTGCGCACTGGAAATCTGTAGTGCATGAGAAAAGGGTTATTGTTTCTCGTGTAGTATTTTTTCCTAGGCTGATTGATCCTAGCTTCTCTCAATACATAAGTTAGTAAGTTACATAAGTACTAACCTATGATCAAGACTAAAATTCTTCATATGAAACTGTCAATCTAGAAAACAGAGAAATAGTTTGGCGACACACTTTTAATCCCCGTGGTCGGTTTCAGTACAAAGGAATAGGGAAAAAAATCTGAAAAGCAAGACAAAGATTTCATGAAGGCAACCTAGAAGAGAGGTGCAGAAAACGAGGGATAAGAAGGAGAATTACTAACCCTGTTTTGTAGCAGGGTAAGTATCTGGAATAACTGCAGGAGTTTGGGTGTGCACCCTGAACTGCTTTCTCTCAGAGATATCCTGCAAATAGCCATCATGTAAGATGCATTTTGTTACGTATGGTGGTTTTTTTTTTCCAATTTGTAGATTCATGTTCTTTTCTTTTTTAAAGGCGGGGAAGCTTTCATCAACTGTTTATCTGTTTGTTTTAAACAGCCATCTCCTGAATATCTGAACCTTAAGCAAAAGGTAACAAAACCCCCACAAACCCATTCTTTCAAAAACAGGAAAAGTGGAGACTTTTATGATGGTCTCAAAACTAAAACAGTGTTTTAAAACATTGGTTATACTTGGGAGATGGGAAGTAATTTGTCATCAGGAGATCGAGCTCCTGAAAAGAGGCCAGTGGGGAGGCACTTTTCTAACTGGTAGCGATAGAGTTATAGAATCATAGAATCATAGA